CGAGGCTGTAATTTATATCCCATGACTATTTTGTTACTGCCAATATGTACCTAGTGTCATTTTCCTGGCTATCGGGTGGAATTAGAGCAGACGGCCTGTTTCCCACTTTAACCTCAGCACACAGGCTCGCCTCACTTTGTGACAGAAGCACCATGCATCACACATCGGATGGTAAAGCAAGGAGGCCAGACGTTTCATTTTGTAGCCCCTTTCAGGTCCTTGGGCTTTGCTGCAGGCTGTGGTCTGCTGTCCTTTCCCAGTGGGTGGCCTTGCATTTCAAATCTAAAGTAAACAAGCATCCACTTGCAGTGCCCTTTGGTGTTGCCAGCTGGGGCATTGAAGACCAGGGGCAGGGCTAAGTTCAGGTTTGGCTGGTCTGGTATTAGACTTCAGCCCTGCCCTGTCTTTACTTGGCAAATGGGGAGGGATGGGTGGTGGGAAGTCATCTCTGTGACCAGTGTCCTTGGCCCACATTGGATCTGTGTTTGGAAGGCGAGTTAGTTCTGTGGCCTGTGGAGAGGCCTGGTGGAGGGGGAGATGGGGAAGAGGACATCCTGTGACTATTCAGGAGGTTAAACAGTTTGGCATGGTCCTGTGGGTCATGTGCATATTATAAGAATACATTAATATTAAATATGAATATTCAAAAATAATAATAGAATAAGATGGTTAGAGAAATTGAAGGTATTTGGAATGAGTCATTTCATGGCTCTTGGTACTACTGTATTTATACTCAAGAGTCCTGTGGGCACTTCTTAGAAGTAACTTCCTCAGACCCAGATCTATGTAAAGACACCCCATGTCAGTTCTGGGAGGGCGCTTATTAGTAGAATTAGAGTTGGGGATTAGATCAGGAGCCTAAAAGGTTCTTGTTAACTCAAAGATTCTCTGAATTACTCCAGGCTTGTAAGGTGGAACTTCCTAACTGCCTTTGCAGGCAGTTCTACAAATTGACATTGCTCACTGTTGCCATACCTCTTCCTTGGGAATGGTTCTCTTTGGGGCCTGGAGTCACTTTAGAGATGAATGTCTGTGGGTTCTCCTGGGCAAATCTTTTCGAGAAGCTGTACACAATTTGGTTGAGGTCTTCATGCATTATTCCTGGATGGGACCCTTATGTGCTAATAAGGGTCAGGCAAAATGTTATTGTCCTGACTAATTCTCCCTCCAGGAGGAATCTTCTTTACTTAAAGCAGAATGGTTCCTAGTTTATAGGAAGAAACCTATTACATAAGTCTTGCAGAAGGAAAATGTCACAGAACTGGCTTTCTAGATGCTTCTTAGAATCAAATCTTGCTTATGATAGAGGTTGAATTCATGAGGACTAGGAAAGTAGATTTTCAATAGGAACATTTTATTAAATGCAAAGAAGGGGATCACTCCAAATCTAAAAGCTATCCTTGCCTATTATGTTACCCTCCCGAGAGACCATCTATCTCAACATAAAAACTTCAGATGCTTAAGAATAACAATAGTCATTCCGAGTCTCTCTCTCTATCATTATTGTAAGTATTGAATCCTTAGAGAATCACTTTGAGGTGCATTTTATTGAGGAGCTTTTACAGATGAATCTTGTCCAAACGTGCAGCAGCAGAGAAGTAAGAAAGCATTCCTTCCACTCCCCCAGGCCCCTCTGATGTTCCTTTGGCTGCAACCATTCTTCCTTCCACCATCTCCAGCTCCCACCAGCACGGATCTACTCTCTTAAGCCAACTTCTTGCCAGCTCTCATGATCCTCCCAGACTTCTCTGTTTTCAGACATTGTACCTTCCTCTTGCTCCTTGCAGAAGAAAAACTTCCCCCTGACTGCTCTGTGACTTTCCTTCCAAGGACTTAGTTTCCCCATTTGTAAAAGGGGATAATTGCCAGGAGTCATCTCACTTGTTACCCCACCTCACTAGGCATGGTGAGCCCATCTCGGATACACCTCTAGGGCAGGAAGTACATGGGGGGCCTGGGATTTTTGTTTCTTACTCTTAAACTCTTCTCAGTGTCTTATTAGTGCTGCCCCAAACTTGTTGCTAATGTGCCTGGCCAGAGCCATCAGACTTCTGCTGCTTTATCTCTCTCCTCATCCCGGAATCTCACCTTCTCTGGTTAGTAGCTTTCGACCTTAGGCAAACAATGCCACTTTTTTGAGCCTCAGTTTTCTCATCTGTAGAAAATGGGTAGATAATATTTATCTTGCGTGAATTAGTTGTGATGATTACACCAGTGCATATCTTATAGGAAATCACCTGGCAAACAGTAGCCACTTGGTTCATTTTAGTTCTCATCTTTCTTGATTTTGGCCTGAGAAGCAGTAATGTTTTATGTAGCAGGTGTCAGGAATCTTTTAAACCTAGTCTGCCGGACACCTGAGCCTCTTCACATCTCTGCCTCCATGTGCCCATGTGTATCCTCACTCTACATGGCCTCTGGTCCCAGACTCTCAATGTTTTGGAGGCTACTGGCTTTGGGAGCCATCCCCTCTTTCTATTACATCCTTTTTTTGCTTGCCTGTGTTTTCTAGGCTTCCCTCCATGCCGTTACCACTAGGCCCTTCTTGCTGCCATTGCCAGGTGCTGAATATAATAATACCTGCTTTGCATACCTCAGGGATTATTGTAAGGATCAAAAGGGTTGATTTATACAACAGCAGTGCTTTGCAAAGTGAGATGGGGTACATTCATGGGCATTTTGATGATGATTATTATCTCTTCTGCACTATCTTCAGATGACTAAATGTATCCACCAAGCCTGGACCTTCTCAGCATAGTCTTACCTCTCTTGGACTCTGTAATACTGGCTGTGCAATCTGACAGTTTAAGTAGCAGAAGAACTTGCTGGTAGACAGCAGCATTGGGGGTGGAGGATGCCTGAGTAATGAATTACCTTCTTTAGGGTCCCAGTGGGAAATCGGGTACCCTGGAAAGCGTTAATTTACCTCACTTGAGTGAGTGCTTTAGACCCAGCAAGCATTTCATTTGCTCAGGCAGCCCATTGTGGTGATGACATTAAATAATCATTATCATTACATGGAAATCCTGTCAACTTGGGGATTTAGAAAGTGTTTCTTAAGTCACATATATATTTAAGCCACCAAGATGCACAGAATATTCATCTAGAAGAAAGTATTTATGAAGACAACATTTGTTTGTAATTGTCAGCATTTGGCAAAGGGAGGAAATGAAAGAATGAAATGAACCACAGCTTTGGATTCCTTCCAGTGGTTTTTCCAATCCCGTATCTTCAGGACTAGGGAGGGAAGCCTTCCTGTCGTGGACCGCGAGCTCTAGGGAGGGGAGTAGGAGCCTGCAAATGCCGCACCCCCTCCTCTAGGAAGTCATTTCAAAGGGAGCTGCCTCCAGGGAAAAGCAATAGCCCATTGGCCAATATTTATTTATAGTCTTATACTCTGTAAACTTGTCTTCTTTTTAAAAATTAAGAGCAAAAAGTATTTTGGTTCTTGTTTGTTTGTACCACCTCCAGGCACTCATATCTGTTTTCTTTATTTCTGTGCTGGTTGCTCAACATCTTTGGTCGTGATGGAACTGGTTTCATTCCTCAGCCCTTCCTTATTATTAATGTTCTTATTATTGCTTAGTTCTTCTATGTTTGCAGTGTCCTTGACAATCTTTTTTTTATTAGCTGTTCTTTGCAACAACGCAGTAAGGTGGATCAGGCTTACTGAATATTTATCCAACAAATTGTCTAACATTTTCTTTTGTTGGCTTTTGTTAGGATTTATTACAACCATCCCCCCCCCCCCCCCCCCCGCCTTTCTTAGCATTGCCCTTCTGCAAGCAACTTATTTCATGCTTGTTCTTGTGGGGCTACATGAGCCAGGGTCTTGTGTCATCTGCTTTCAATTTGTGTTTGGTTTCTTCCTTGCTTGCCCGGCTTTCTCACCCTCCTCAAAATTATCGTTGCCTGTCCATGCAAATTGTGCTTAAGTAATCTAACACAGGTTTGAGTAGAGGGTTTTTTTTTTCTTTCTTCAATTTAGGCACATTTCCAAGTGGCCACTGGCTACTAGTTAGTTCTTCAGCACATGATTTGTTACCAAATAATCAGTCACTACTAATATTTCTGTGATGGTTTTTGCTGTGGTTGGGTATATATTTTTTCTATGGGGAACCACTAGACTGCCAAGCTACAAAGAGAGATGCTTCAAGGGATGGGGAGGGATTTGTACTTTAACAAAAAAGGACATCAATTCTGGTAAACCAAAAAGTGATCAAGTCTTCTAAAACCCACTATTATCACCATTTCTGCTACTGCTGTCTCTTCTACCACAAGAGCTGGCATACCCAGTCCCATACCACCATCAGAAATATTTTATTATGTTTCTACCTATGCACACATACCAAGATATCCTGACATCTGGGAGTTTATATGCAAAGAGATCACCTCTGAATACCATTTTAAATTTTGAATACATGATATGTCTGTTGCCCTTCTTCTATCACTGTGCTTTTTTATTTGCCTATTACACTTACATCATGTCAATGTTATTGTTGACTTGTCTTTCTTACCCTGTAGACCCTGGGTTTCTTGAGGGTAGAGACTGTGTCTTATTCTTTATTCATGAAGTACTGTGCTAGGCACTAGGGAAACCTATTAGGGGGTTAATAATTGTTTGTTGTGTGAATGTTAAAATGCTTTAATTAAATGAGAAAATGCCTTTGTAAACTATAAAATGTTTTATAAACTAGTAAGTACTGTTCAAATAAAAATCCTTTTTTTGTTATAATTGCATTGCTTTGTCTATATAGCAATGAAGAATAATTTGAATCCTATGAAGCTGGACAAGATCTACTTATCCACTTTATGGAATAAGAGTGATGGCAATTTGACTGAATTTGCAAAAGATTAAAAAGGTCAGCCATATTATTTTTATTTCCTTTTCTTTGTTCCCATGCTTTTGACACAGAGTCATCCACATGGACAACCCTGTTTCCAAGGCTGGGGTTTATTGTCAGCTTAGCCTAGCTAGACTGGACTGCACTAGCCAACAGAAAAACATGAAACGCTCCATGAATTTGTGGTCATCCTTGTGCAGAGGCCATGCTAATATAGTCTATATTGTTCCACTTTTTAGTATATGTGCTGCCAAAGTGAGCACCAGCCATGGTATTTTGACTGCTTTCTGATGTTTGGCTTTCTTGGTCATCTGTGGCAATAGAGAGAGCCCAGCAATGGGTGGGAGGATAACCTCTGAATGTGTTTAGAATTCATTAAAAAATGAATTCTAAACACATTCTTCTTTGTTACACAGGTAAATATTTTAGAAAATGTCTTAAGTGAAGTTGTACTTCCATGAGTTCTAGGTGTAGGTGATTCTGGAAAGCTATGAGTTATTCGGTCCTATGCCAGATTTAAGCCAATGGAATAGGATTTGCCGAAGTAATCAGTGTTGTTAACAGTGTGAAAATGGTTCAGTGTTCCAGAAATCTCCCCCATCATGGAACTTATCTTAGAGGCTGTGAAGAGGGAGAAAACTGGCTCTTCCATCCACTATCTAGTGGTATACTTCTTCAAAAAAGCAAAAAAAAGAAGAAAAAAAAAAGAAGAAAAAAGAAAAAAGTCAACCAGTTATTTCTTTAGAACAAACATTACAACTAGTGATTAAAAAATACGTTCTACTTTTGAGTCTGGCACGTTTCAGTTACTTAAAAAATTCTGACTGAGTAAATAAATGAATGAATTTAGCTTTCTTATCCCAGTTATCCAAAGTGTTTAACATTGGCGATGTAAAAAAGCCCCAAGAACGACTTTACTGGCTTTTACCCAAGGGTATCCTGGGGCCAGTCAGCAATGGGGAAGAACTCTGAGGTTGGGCCAAGTTCACTTTCAAGAAGCAGCATTTGATAAAAGCTCAGTTCTCCTATCAATAGTCCTTCAACTCTCTCTGTAGCCTTGGCAAACTCTTTTTGAAAGACAAATGCACTGTAGGCCCAAGCTGAATCACAAAGCCAGAATGCAAGTCCCACCCCCAGCATCAAGACCTCCCAAATCAACCCTTTGGTAGACTTTGGGGATGGGTTTACAAAAGGCTGACAGCACTTTTGCATCTATGGATAGAAATATTAGATTGGTTGCTGAAGGTAAAAAATTAGGCTGTTAGAATTTACTGTGTTCAATGAAGTTGCCAGGAGGCTGCGTAGAGAAGTCTGGCTTTTCATGAGTTATCCTCATTCCTGGTCAGTGGTAGAAACCGAACATGTTGACTTTGGGGTCTGGTAATTGTCTTAAATTAGTGGCTTAAAGGCCACAGAGCCACTTTCTTCCCTTACTGCCTTCTTTTCTGTTCCTTACTTCTCCCATTGATTCTGGTTTCTCTTCCTCATGTGCGAATGATCTCTCTGTTTGGCAGCAACTAGCCATCATAAGCCTTTTTTGTCTACTTAGTTCTTTGGGTGCCGAAGATTTAGCTAATTGGGAATTGAATGGAGTAAAGAGTCAAGCAGGGAATATTGTGCACGAGATGGGTATTTTGTTCCTCTGAGGATTTGCCACAAGCAGATATAAAGTGTCTTTCTCACTCAAAAGTAGCTCCAAGCACATGCACAAATCAATTAGTTACTGGCAGGGCAGAGAGAGCAGAGGCAGCAGAAGCCCTGTGGTGATAGCCAGAGACCCTGGCTGCTCACTCTCTTAGGCAGGCTGTCCTTGATCATTAGATAACACAGTGACATTTCCCCCCCTGGCGACTGTTTCCATTACAATCAAAACTTCAGAGAGAGGGTACAGCTTTCAGAGTCTTGCTCCACTCCATTAATAAACAAACACCCACAAGGAGAGACTGGGGGAAAGGGAGACCGGCATCCCTTTGAGACAGCAAGCCAAGAAAAGGAAACAAAAGAAATCAATCTTTTATTTGCTCACTTTGACTCCAGAACACTTATGTATCCCCTGGCATGTTCAGTCGTTGACTAAGGTGGAACCCGAGTGTTTCTCTCAGTTCATTAGACAGACAAACTAAGTGCCACAAAAGAGTCTTTAATTTGAAGAGGATGAGCCTCTTGGACACAGGCCTTCTAAGCTTACAAAATAGGTGCGACATGCCTCCCGCCAGTTACACAGCAGGCAGAGCCTACAACATATGCTGGAGGGGCCTTGGAGGTACCGAGTGAGGACGGAATCTGAAGAACACCTAAAAATGTGTCCAACTGAGCTGTCAGAGGAATTCTCATCAGTCACTCTGCAGGAACAAAAAGAGTTTCTGAAACGCACACATCATTTTAGAAACACGCTTTGAACTTTGAGTTCTCAGCTTGTTGATAATCAGCAGAGGGGAGGGGTAGAGGTCACAGGATGGGAGAACAGAGTGACCACTGCACTAGGTTCAAGAGAGTAAAGGTGAACCATCCTTCATAAGATTTGGAGCCTTTCAGACTATTCAGTGAGCTGAGGGGTTGGAAAGAAAACTGCTTCTTATATAATAGCTGAGAGCTCTTATCTCATTCTTGGGAACAAGCTGGGGGTAGGTGGCAACTATTTTGGTCTTCGGTTTCACAGTTGGCAGAGCGGAGGTACAGGGAAGGGAATCGGTCTGTCAGCCCACTTAGCTAGATGTGCTTGTGAAGAGAGTTCCTTTGATGCCCCTCAGCACTTCCCCATCCTCCATCAGTGCCATTTACCACCTCTGCTCAGCGCCCTTTGGCAGCCTCCTAGAGAGTGGGAATTTACAGCACCACTGAGGTCACCCCACAGACTTGGAGGCCAAAGACCTGACCTTGAATTCTGGCTCCTACTCTTACTAACTCTGTGGTCTTGGGCAAGTTGCTTAATCTCTCTGCAGTCTCCATTTATTTCTCTTTAAAAATGAGAATAATAGCTATCGAATAGGCCATTGTGAGAATTAAATGTGTTTGAAATCATTTAATCCAGTGCCTCATATAACTCAGTAAATGTTAATTGGATCTGAATTTAAGGAAGAAATAAAGTGAGCCCAGATTTCTTTCTCTGATGAGCATGTTCCAACTTACTTCATCTCATATATTTCCCCACACCCGTGATTCTTGAAGCTTGGTTTCTGGACCAGGATCCTCAGAGGCACCTAGGAACCAGTGAGAAATGCAAATTCTCAGGCCTCATTTTGCACTCAAGTTTGAGAATCACTGCTTTATATTAGCTTCATAACGGCAGGAGCAAAGCACTGGTGGGCAGCCACTGACATAATCCTTGTTACAACATGGTTGATGGCTTGAGCTCAGGCATGTATTTTTGGTACCACTGTATTTGCCCTGTCTTTGTGCAGTTGTTGAGAGAAGAGAAAAGGACCATCCCGCTGAACATTTAAGACATTCTGGTTTGTGTGTGTGTGTGGTATGTGTAGGAGGTGGAATTGACAGAACATAGTGGGTCTGCATAAGTATGGAACTAGTAGAGGAAATTCTCCAATACAACCCAAACCCCCCACAGTCCTTGTAATGTTGGAGTGTGCAGAGACAGAACAAGGGAGGCATTGTATTCTGACACAGAAAGTCTAGAAGATGCCAACATTTATTAGTTATTCAAATTGATGCACAGAGTGTTGAGACATATTGAAGTGATTTTAAAAGTACTTTGAAAGTTGAATATGTGATGTAAAACTTGGATAATTTAGAGTTGTGGAGAAGATCAACCTTTCTCTTCATCTTTCCAACAGGGAATAGGAGGTTGTGTCATTTGATTGGCTCTCCGTTTATTCCAAAGAACTTCGTAATGGCTTCCAGAGATCCTCTTAGCAAGAATGGCTACTGTGCCCTTCCTCCATTCTCTGCCCCATTCTCCATCACTTTTGTTTTGTTCTGGGAAGGTTTAGAAGCCCCCTCACCCCTTTTGGGGGGCAACATTGGTTGAGTTGACTTAGCAGCACCTGAAAGCATAGAATATTTAAGTCCAAAGACTTACTACTCTAATTCAATGCTCCCATTTTACAGATGACAACATTGAGGTGCAGAGATGGAGTTCTCTGTCTCCAAATTCAATGCTCTTTAACCTACTCCCTAAAGGAAGTGTTGCCACACAGTCTGCAAACTCAGTAATCATGGAGTGTGGCATGGAAAGTGTGGGAGTTGTGGAGTTAGAAGCCCTTTTTTCCCTCTGATTTTTCAGATATTATCCTTGTTAAAAAGGTCAATCTATATGTGGGTCCATATAATAATTTTCTACATTTGTTTCAATAAATGAGGAATGTGGTGTTAGATTGGCCCCTTTTTAATTATAGACATTGGAGAATGGGTAGAAGACAAAACAAAACAAGTCCCAAATAGTCTCTAATTTATCTTTTTGATGGAAGAGCTCATCATTGGCAGGCCATTAGCTTTTAATTGCTGCCAAAGTCACGCTGTTCACTTGAAGGGGGGAGAGCAGGCGAGACTCAATCCTCCAAATTATATTAATAATTTTTGCTTGCAACACTTGCATTTCCAGGCCCTGTTACTATTTTCTACCTATCAAATAGAAAAAAAATAATCCTTTTTTTCTTTGGTACTAGCAACATCAGGATTTTGCTTAGTATTCCTTAAATTTTGCTTGGTGTTCTTCAGGCTGACATTGTAAAGTGCCCAGGCACTAAGTCAAATAATTTCTTAGATGATCAGGGTATGGTGCATACAGCCAATGTATAATTTTTTAGGATAATGAGAGAAAAGTTTGGCCTGGATTACTTCGAACCAGACAGATAATCAGAATAAACAAAGTTGTGTGTGTATGTCTTTGAGAATTATTTTCTTTCTGACCCTGTAAATGGGACTCTGTGGTAAGGGCACATGCAAATATTCTTTGTACATTTATTATCACAATAGTAATGAACACTTATTTATGGACCACTTACTATGTACCAGGTGCTTGTGCCCATGACACCTCATTTATTTATCACAGCTCTTGATGGAAGAAGTTTTATCCCCATTGTACAGCCTCAGTGAAGTTAAGTGATTTGTCACAGGTCACATGGGAAGAGAGTGAGAGTATCAGGATTGGAACCCACTGTCCGACTTACTACTGTTTCACAAGCTTCTTTTTTAAAAATATTTTTTATTGATTATGCTATTTCAATTGTCTCATTTTCCCCTCTTTATTCCCTTCTGCCCTGCACACCCCCTCCCACCAGCATTTCCCCACCTTAGTTAATGTCCA